CTCACCTCTCTAGCTTCAACAGCACAACGTCTGCTTCGACTATCGAGGCACCCCGGACATAGCGGGTCACAAGAGTATGACAAACATACAAAAGAAGTAGAGGGAAAATGACGGTAGTAAGGATTAGGAAAGAAAAAGCGGCAGTTCCCTGTTGCAGTTCAGGCACAGATATGAACATGACCCTGATGAATCAGCCCATTTGCAATTACAATTTTTTACTGTGTATAAGAACATGGTTAGTGTCCCCATCTTTTGGAATTGCCTAAAGACACTTCAGTCAGTAGCACTGCCCCGTGGGGTGGTATTATGTATGCATAATATATATATATATATATATATATATATATATATATATATATATATATATATATATATGTATATATATATATATATATGTGATATATATATATGTGTATATAATATATGTATAGATATAATTATATATCAGTATATTTTTTTATATTTTTTATTTTATATCAGGCATGGGCACACACATACACACAAACACACAAATACACACACACACACACACACACACACACACACACACACACACACACACACACACACATACACACACACACACACACACACACACACACATACACCCATGGGCACACAAAACATGCACACTTAGATAAATGCACATGAGAGAGCACGGTTCATGTTGTGTCAACCGCCATTATTTGCTGGAGGAAACAGAGTAGAAATGAATATTATGAAGGTTTTAGAGTAGCATCGTGTTATTAATTAATAGTTGTGTTTGCGGGTGTGCATGTAAGTGGGGAGGATGGTGGTACTAGAGAGAGAGAGAGAGAGAGAGAGAAAGAAAGAAAGAGAGAGAGAGAGAGAGAAAGGGGGGGGGGGGGTAAACAGATAAAAAGAGATAAGGTAAGCGAGGAAGAAAAGTATCAAAATACAGAGAAGCTGGGCTAAAGGCAAGAGGGAACCAATGAGAAGCCCAGAGAGAAAGAGGAAAGAACGAGGAGAAAAAGGGAAAGAAAGACAGAATTAGAGGGATGGATACAAAGAGAGACAGAGAGAGATAGTGAGCAAGATAGTGAGAAAGAGAGAGTGAGAGAGAGATCAGAGAGAGACAGAGAGACAGGGATAGACAGAGAGAGAAAGAGGGGAGGGGTTGGGGTGGGATAGAGGATAGAGATGCCAACACGATGTGCACAATTACGAACCGGATAAGTGCGTGTTCTCCCTTGGCCCTTTTTCGCAATAGCGGAAGTTCAACTGCACAAAGCAGTTCCTGTTTTGAGGTCGCCTCGCTTGCATCAACCCCCCCCCCCCCCAAAAAAAAAAACACCCCCAAAAAACAAACAAAACAAAAAAAACAACTCTTGGACAGACACACACGCAAACTTTCTCAAACGCCAAACCTTTTCTCAATCTATTCCTCTAATTCTCTCTCCAACGTTTTCTTTTTTTCTTGGTTGTTTTTATCTGCTTATTTCTCTTGATCTACGCTTTCGTCTCTCTTTAGAGGGAAATCAGACTGCAATCGTGATAGTGAAAGAAGCGTGTTAGAAAGGAAAGAGGCTAACAATGCGGTCGTTTGTTACGATGAAAATGTGGGGGAAAGAAAAAAAGTAAATGTAGAAGGACATTTGTGCATTGCCTTTGGGCCGCGGGGCTTTTTGTTATAACAGTTTTTCAGTGCTCGTTTTTCGGCAGATTGATGAAACTGCGAAATGCTGTGGTAGTTCTCACATATTCAGAGAGAGAGAGAGAGAGAGAGAGAGAGAGAGAGAGAGAGAGAGAGAGAGAGAGAGAGAGAGAGAGAGAGAGAGAGAGAGAGAGAGTGAGAGAGAGAGAGAGAGAAAAGATAGGATGAATTTGAGAGAGATTGGTTGGTGGGGGGGGGATACATCCTGCAAAAGTGGAAAAGAGACTTATGGGAATGGGAGATAAAGAGAGAGAGAGAGAGAGAGAGAGAGAGAGAGAGAGAGAGAGAGAGAGAGA